ACCAACAGTTTATTCTAAGACGCCCGAAATCTACCCATTAGGCTTGACATACCCTGCCGAGGCGCCACCACAATCAGAAAAACTGATTTTCTATAATTTTAGATACTGGCCGAACCAGGTCTCGAACCTCTCGGCTATTGAGTAATGAGTAATGACATTGATTATAGTGCATTTAGTCTTGCCCATGAGACGATGATTATTCCCTTTTATGATAGCCGTGGAATCGTCCACAACGAATTTCTTCCACCGGGGTAAACCGTAAATCAAGTCAACCATCGCCAAGTGCTTGTAAGATTGCGAAAACGAGTCAACAGGGCCCACCCAGACATCGCTCGTAACTGGATCCTTCAACATGACAACGCGCCATCTAAGGAGCGCCGTGTTGGAAAAACCGCCTTATTCGCCCGATATGTCACCCTGTGTCTTTTTTCTTGTTCGTTAGAACAAAACCGGTGGTCAGGCGAACCCATTTTGAGACGATTGAGAACATCCATGCGGCCGAGGGACGAGGGTACTCGCGGACATCCCAGTCGAAGCGTTCCATAAATGTTACGACGCACGGAAAACGCGCTGGATTTATTGTATAGCTGCCCAAGGAGACTGCTTTGAAGGGGATGGCTGAGCTATAGAATAATTTTGAACTATAAAGTTTTTATGGAATCAGAGTCATTACTTAATTGTCACACCTCGTACATTAGTTTCCATCATCTCATTAAGCATTTCCGTCAAGGTTTATTTCTTCATAATAAAAAGCCGTCGGCACATTCTTATACAGTATGTATGTATGTATATGCAAATAATATCTTCGAAACACACATCAGATGTCAGGTATAAATATTTAATATTATTTTCTTAAAGCTTATATACATATATGTATTATATATTCACATTCAAAAAAAAAAGCTGGACTTCTAAAACGGGTGCTTCACATTTTCATAACCACCTATGTATGCTTGTATGTATGTATGTGCATACATATTTCATGCCACAAAACCAACCAAAGCAAAGTAAACCAAAAGAATGGAAATGAAAACCATCAATAGCGGTGGCCTCGGTGGTACCCCTGATGGTAATGGTAGTGGTGGTGGTTCTAGTGGTAGAGTGGTAATGGCAAAAGCCGCCTATTCAGCGGTGAATGTGAAAAACCAAAAACAAAAAAGATACGCATTCAAATAAAAATGCATAAAACTACGTACAGACCCGAATGCTTAGATATGCATGTATGTACAAATGTATTCATACATACAAACAGTAATACACAACCTTTTAAACGATCAAATGTTAATGTATAAATATATGTACCTATGTATGTACATTCATAAGCATACATATATTCATAAAGACATCAAAATTATGCACTTCAGCAAAGCTATGTGCTAATATATATGAACATGTGTATGTGTGTCTATTTTATGTGCACACATTAATTTCCTCCACATAAGAAACTATACGAATATATTATATGTATGTATGCATGTTTTTATATAAATATGAATGACCCTATTAAAGTGAATAATCCAACTCTCTCATCCGTCCCTCGACGGCCTGCCTTCCTGAATATGCCTTTCTGCCTGACAGTTTGCCATTCACGCCGCCATTAAATGCAACTGCAACAAAAAAAAAAAACTCGCTTCCATATACATAAATATATTTATGTATACATGACTACATTCATTCGAATAAATATTTATGGGTGTGTGTAATCGTTAAAAGTTGCGCACATCCAAAGAGAGATACAAAAGTGTCATGTTTATCATTTTTAGATCGGCATTGTGTGGCACATAGCTACATATCAACGTATATGTACGTACATAGATGCATATACATATATTATATAAAATAAGTAGGTATGCAATTCAGCGGCGTGCGTTCTGATACAGTCGACTGCACACGCATAATGGCTGTCGGTTGTTAGGTTATTCCTCCAGCGATATACGCCTGGATGTATGTATGTATGAACATATCTTTACAGGGAGGATTTTTGAAAATGCCACTAAAAAGATTAGAGACTTGCTTCACGCTCAAAGCTATGAGAGTCGCTTATAAAATTCTCCACAGGCCTCCGGTGTACTTGTATACATTATCAGAACCATGTAATCCGGTGCCCTAGCAGAGAAGTCAACAAAAATTTCAAAACATTAAAAAACTCCAGAAATTAATAAAAAACAATTTTAAACAAAATAAAATCATACATAAAGAATGCTATTAAAGAAAATCATATAAAATGAAACTGAAAATAAAGCAAAAAAAAAAAATAGAATAAAATATATTAAAACAAAATAATAAAAATATATAATCTAATAATATAAAATAAATGAATTTCAAAATATAAAAAAAACTAAATTACATCAAATGAAATGAAATAAAATCAAAACAAAAAAATTAAAATTAATTTAAAAAAAGGAAAACAAAACAAATTAACAAAATAAAACTAAAGTAAAGTAAAGTAAAACTAAATGAAATACAACAAAGTCAAATGAAAAAAAATAAATTAATTAAAAAAATATTAGATGTACTAAATATTTAAAATAAAATTTAAAAATTTAGCAATATAAAAAATATCAAATGAAATAAAATAAAACAAAGTCATGTGAAAAATAGCAAAAATAAAATAATATCAAATGAAATAAATATAAAATCCAATTAAAGAAAATGAAATAAAATTAAATAAAAAAAATAAAAAATAATTAAATTGAACTATAGAAATGAAATAAAATAAAGTAAATTAAAAGAAAAGAAACAAAGTTAAATCCAGTAAAAAAATTTAAGAAAAAATAAAATTAAATTATAAAATAGAAAAAAGGAAAATTTATTTACATATACTATATGATTAGCACTTTATAAACGCTAGTGCGATTTTCTGCTGAGCTCCTCACCCAATTTGTGGTCTTGCGTCTTTACGTTTTCACAATAAATGGAGGGGCCTACAGTTTATACTTCGCCGCCTACGAACGGCTGATGGTATTTTATGAGGAGCTTTATTTTATGTTAGAAATACACCCGCAGGTCTTGATTATTCCTGCCGAAGGTCGATCGCAATTAGAATATTTTATTTAATTTTTTATTTAAATTAATTTTCTATAACTTTTGGATTTGGGCAATGTCCTTCGAATGGCAGTACGCACTGCTAAGCACTCGACTACCGCGCGCTCTACTAAAACAAAATAAAAAGAAATCAAATAAATTAAAATAAATTTAAAAAATAAATAAAATGAAGAAAATTATATAAAGTAATATAAAATAAAATAAAGCAAAGACAATTCAAGTAAAAGCAATTAAAAAAATAAAACAATTTAAAATATATTAAAACAAAATAAAATAAACAAATCAAATTAAAATATATTAAAAGAAAGTAAAATAAAATAAAAAAAATAAATCTTAAATAAAGACAAATCAAGCAAAAAAAAAAAATAAAACAAATTAAAGAAATAGTACACAATAAAATTTTAAATTAAAATAAAGTAAATCAAAACAAAAAATTATATTAAAAAGTTAAACAAAATAACATATAAAGAAATATAAAAATTAAATGCAATAAAAAGATAATAAAAAAATAAATTTAAAAAAATAAAATAAAAAAATAAAATAAAAGGAAATAAATTAAAATAAATTACAAAAAATAAAAAAAAAATTAATTAATTGAAATAAAAGGAAAAAAATAAAATAAACAAATCAAATTAAAATAAAATAAAACAAAATAAATTAAAATAAAAAAAAAATAAACATATTCAGTTAAATAAATGAATGAAATTAAATAAAGCCAAATAAAGTAAAAAATTTAAAAAGATATTAAATTAAATTAAAAAAAGTACAAAATAAAAAATAAAAATCAAATTAAAATAAATTAAAATAGAATAAAATAAAACAAAATAAAAAATAATTAAGAAAAAAATAAATGAAAAATTAACAAAATAATAAAAAATTAAATAAAATATGAAACTTAAAACAATAAAAAGAATGAGAGGAATAAATTTAAAAAAATGAATAAATAAAAAATATAAAATTTTAGAATTAAAAAATAATTAAATAAATTTAAATATAAGGAAATAGAATAAATTAAAGTGAAATAAATAAAATAAATGAAAACAATATAAAATAAGCTATAATTAGTTTAAATTAGGTAAAATTAAATTGGAAACAAAAGAAATTCTCATTAAACAAAATTTAAAAAATAAATAGGTTGATATATATGTACTAAAAATGATTAAAAAAATAAAATAAAATAAATAAAATTTTGGTAATTTTGCCGATGATACAAAATTACCAAAATTTTATTTATTTTATTTTATTTTTTTAATCATTTTTAGTACATATATATATATATATATAATTAAGTAAAAAAAGAAGTAAAAATATAAGAAAAATCAGGAGCTTAATAAAGTACAACTAAAAAGAAAAAAATGTTAAAATAAAATAATACAAATAAAAAAATAAAATTACTGCTGCAGCAGCCGAAAAAAGTGACGGTCATGCGGAAACTGTATAAACTAGGCCCTTGCATTTGATGAAAAAACATTAAGACCACAAATTGCAGAAGAAACTCGGCATAAAATAGCTCAAATAAAATAATTTAAAATTAAAAAAAATTAAATTAGTATATTTTTATATCGCAAAAATCCCTTAGCGGTAACTTATTATAATTTAAAAAGCATTAATCACGAATGGAGATGGCAAATGATTAGGTAATACATATCTTGCTTAATTCATAAAAAATTATTTGTTTACGCAAAGAACATGCGAAGTTTATTTAGCAGCCCACGAAAATACAAAAATAATTAAATATTTACTGAGGCGAAGATCATTAAGCAGGCATTATTTTGCCAAAGAAAACACGGCTAAGTTAATTTGATAGAGTGTTTTACTAAATAAATGCCTTCTTTAGTACGCCGAGAGCGCTGGAGAGCTATGTTGCTGTATTTAAACAGACGCCAATCACCAATAAAATCGCACAGCAAGAAATTTGTATTTTTAAATGAATTTTTTGATTACGATAAAAGTAAAATGAGTTATTGAATTAAAAAAATTTTTTAACTATAAAAATATGCAAGAAAACGAAGGAGAAGCCCAAATGGCAAAGACTACCCACCAAATGAGGCGGAAAATAGCAAATAATTTTGCAAAAGAATTTCGAAAGCACTAATTTGAATAAATCGAACAGCAGCAGTATTTAATTTGTAATTCAAACAACGCCTTACACCCACTGAGCTTCGCTTTTATGACCTTTGATTTCGAGCGCAAAGAGTAAGTGGCATAAGTTATAGCATTAAAAAATATTTGGGGATGAAAACGCGCAAGCCAAAGACTCAAATATGAAGTATTGAATAAGTAAGTACGAAAAACAAAACCCAAAACCAAGCAGGGAGCGCATACACGCAGTATTAGTTTAATCAAAAGAATCATCAGGATAAAAATTTGCGAATTGAATACGCCACACGACTACCCACACGCGGCTTGCCAAAAAACAACAACACGAAAGGGAGGCAACAACAGAGCAACAGCAAAAAATATGTATAAAGAAAAGTGGCAAGAGACAATAATGCTGTGGGTGGTGAATTAGAAGTATGCAAAGAACGTAAAGCGCACTGGAGGTAGCTTCAGCGTGTGCAAGTGTGAGTGTGTGCGTCATGTTGCTCTTCGGTGGGTTATCAACGAAGCTAATAAAGTTTTGTGTTGGAGGTTAAATGGCTTGAATGCGCTGATACTTACAGATGTGCATATAAATATGCAAAAATATGTATATGGATGTTTGTATATGAGTGTAAGTGTGTGTGCGCGTGTGTGTATTTAAATATTGACTGTAGCTATCAGCAGTTGATGTTTTACAATCTTTCGGTTGTGTTTTCAATACAATTTTTTTTTTTTTTTGCGTCTCCATAAATTCCCTTGTAAGTCAATGAAAGCTGATGATCTCCATCTCCTGCCTCTCACGCCCACACATGCTGGTCGCAAGTTCGTCTTGTATGACTGCGCTGTTTCCTCCGTGCTGTGCAGATTTTTTTGCTCACATCCACCAAGCATATCAAGTCAAAGTCAATTGTCTGGAAATATAAAAAAGATAAATTATCGAAAATATACGGCAGGTTCACATGCATACACACATACTCTATACATATGTGCATAGCTATAAATTTGGCTCTATAGCAAATCTATTTTATTATCAATTTCACCATAAATTCAGCAATCCCGCAAACGCTGTTGAGCTTGTGGCTTGCTTTGTATGTAAATATGAGGCCAAATGGTTTTCCTTCAAGACGAGTGGGATTCAGCGACAACCTGAAGCAAATATATATGTATATATAAGTGGTGCTTTAGTCACTTAAGCTGGATTTTACAAGAGGTTCTCATCTGAATTGTTTCCCGCTAATGGAGGGGCTGAGTCTTTGCGGCTCTTCCGATGGGCTGATGAATACACTAGGAGGTTTTAACATTCCCTGATGAGAGACGAACTCATGCAAATCTGTTCGGAATTTGAACACTTTAACAGTGGCTCAGTAAAGGTATTGTTTTGACATGTCCAACAGAAAAGGAGAATGACATAAGCTAAATTGGTTTAGGGTAGCATGTCAGCGGCAATTTGGAGTCAAGCCGGTCTGAATTGTACCAGTTTAACACAGGTCTGTCGAAGTAGCTGCAATACTTTCTTATTTGGATGCTGATTAAACAATTTTGGAGCTCAACCCCTCAACCTCAATTATGATGCAATTGAGATACAATTAAAAATGGCCTAGAACATCCTAAAGGAGCAGGCGAAGCGATTGAGAATGTAAGGACCGTGAACTTCATAGAAGAAGACTCGCTCTTAGCCGAGGAAGTACAACTTGGTTTCTAAGAGTGCTCGTTATCTCTTTTTGGTGTCATCTCTATCAACAGCTAGTGAATATTTGCTCAACTGTTGACTAACGTAAAAATTCCCATCAGACCAATATGGGAGAAACTAATATCTTTATATGGCGGCGAGACTACTTCGAAGTATAGAAATCTCTAGATTATTGCCTTTTCCGTAGCTTCAAAACGCTACTCGAATTGGTTTTAGGGATTCTACGACAGTAACGGTCCTTAGACGACTGAGACCACACGTCATTCCGGTATAAAGATCCGACCGCCTTGAGAACTACTAGAGTTTATAAGATTTTTAGTATAGGCTTGCCTTGCTGGGACTAAGCACTCTAACCCCTAATTATCAAATGGTACAGGATACAACGTCTTAAGGCTCTCTTCTTTTTCTGGCCAACTGTGCTTCTTAGAAAATAACTGGCTGGGGTCAGCAACAAACATCTTTTTCAATGGTGCACTGTGAGTTTGGTGCAAGAGTCTCCTTTCACTTAACTTAATTTCAACCAGATCCGGTCAATCGGTATCACATTTAGGTTAACCCCAACAGAGTTGTTATGAACTGCCAGCCGCGAGTGCTTGACATCTGTTCTATATATTATTGGATAGGCAGTGAATAGGAACGTCGCCAGTGTTTAGAGTATTTATGTAGATGTCATGAGAAGAGTAGTTCTTTATTCTTTTACGAATATTATTCTCTTGAAAACCGTGGCAGATAGAATAACCTTCTTTAAAACACACAAGTTCAGAGCGCTCAACTGTAGTGAGTACTTCGAGTGGTCTCCGACCGATCTCCAAACTTCCAGTTAGAGTACAAACCCTGTCCACCGGAGGGAAGCCAAGTGAAGGCTCCTCCTTCCTGTTTGGATTAAAGAATGAGGTTATGCATATATTTAAATTGCGACCAACTTCAATTTAACCTTTCTAAATCTCTACACTCTACCGCATATCTACCGTTTATCGCCGCAACGTGAACACGAAAACCCACAATCCTCCGTACGACGCAATCTCTGCGCCAACATCAAAACCGCCAGAGTTCGCCAAGTGCAGTAATGTACGCATAATAAAAATTTCCATAGTAAAGAGTCTGAACTCGCACCGACATTCATTGAACAAAACGCCATTTCAGCGCTGGGAGACGGGGCGCAGAGCCAAGGAATTTGGCGTAAGGATATGGCAGCAACACAATTTCGCAACTACGCTTGTGTGTGTGTGTGTTGATATTCACTTTGTGAATCGCTAAAATTGCCACCAAAGCAATTGCGGAGAAGAAAAATCCATTTCAGGTTATCCGCGAATTTCAATCAGTCCGTCGAGACGAGCCTGAGCTGGTGCGGAGCAACTAACTGCCGCCGTTAGCCGTGGAAAGCTGTCAGTAATTGCTACAGCCACTACACACAGAGAGCACTGCCAACAACTACGCGCTACGTTGGTACAATTGTGGCAACACAAATAAATATGCAGAAAAAAAGCGCGCGACAGTGTAATAAATAAACAAAGAGAATACGTGATGTGTTGAAGAATGAAAGAGGACAAAAGATGAGGAGCTGTAGAGCTAAAGGTAGACGCTAGACAACCAGGGGCGTACAGTAGCTGCAGTGGAGATGAAAACTCCAATGATAACGTAATAAAACGTCGGATAACGCGGAAGCCCAAAGACAGTTTCCATAAAAACTATACGAGAAGGTCGCCGCAGAGTGTTGCAGAGTTGAAAGAATACATTTTGAGTTAGCGTGTGCCATCTTTCTTGTTTCTTCAACTCGCGGCAAATTTAAACGCACGAAAGCGGAATATATTAAAGGTGAAATGTCAAGAGAAAATCCACTTAAGACGACAAGTTAAGCGGAGCCATGTATCGCGCACGGCATAGAAGGGGTGAAGCGATATAGAGATACCTACTTGTAGCTGCCACACATTTAATGTCACTTAGCTTTACTTGCCTGCTGCCGTGCAACTTTTAAGTGGCGCACAAATCGCATCCGTTAAACAAATCTTCAACTAAATTGCTGCCACTTATTTATCTACTTTTCTTCTTCATTTTTCTTTTTTTTTCCTGCAACTCTAGAACTCGCTTATAGTACTCAGCGTGGCACATACTCATATGTATGTACATATGTAAGTAGGTAAGTGATCAGTGCAACTCATGCGGATGAACTTTTGTATTGAATGAAAGAGTTATTTCTGTCGTCAGCCCGGGAGGAACGCACAAATCTATGCAATAAATCTTGTAACGGTTAAGCACAGTAACAACAATGGAGTTAATAGACGCATACTCGAGTATTTGTGATTTATTGCTCTACTTTCGACACGTAGAAGACTCGCTTGTATGTTTATATGTGTCTTCAGAGTTTCCCATGCCTCATCTAGCTAAGCAACTAGACTGTCGTTGCGTCAGCAGCTGTTCGAAGCAATAGGAATTGGGAAGGAAGATGCAATGCCGAGTGAAACCGAACAACAGATTGCCGACTAATATTTCGCACGTATATTGGTCGGTTAAAGGTGCTCCTTTCCTCAATTTGTATTGTGCTATTGCTGTGAAGGTAATTTCCTCTACACTTGACACGTCGACCACTTCCAGGTTCTTTCGAAGTAAAGGATACTGATACCGCTGGCAACCATGCTTAATAATCACTACATCAACTCTAAAGTCTAAGCTGATATCAAAGCTGTTGCATTGCGACAGTTACTTAGTTCCGCTCTTATTGCAGTTGAGATCGTTCCCCAATCTCACATACTTCTTTTGGTCCAGTAGATCACAATGGCTCAAACAATACTCGAAATAAAACTTTGTACTGTTATTCTGCTCGGTACTGTCTCCTTTTAGCGTCATCTTTAGTAATTGAAAGTTTTGGCTGGTGATCTGAATGCCATTAACTCATACAGCAATGAAAGCTGGAGAAGTTGCTTCTTAATCATGGGTCATAAATCATGAGTTCTCTACTTTCTTGTGATCCTCTGAATGCCTCTGAATGCCTATTCATATCTGTCATTTTTGGTCTTTATCACACGCTACCTCTATCTTAAATTTAATTTTGGAGTTTATTTCCTCCGACTTGTGTATCCCAATGACACAAGGCTCCTCAAACCACACGCAGCATTCCCTTCCGTTATTTTTACTCGGATATAGATGGAGCTTTACACCTTTTACGAAAAAGCCTTGACCCATTTGGGTTGACGCCAGAGACAACACCTTGGGTAATTGGACGCCCTGCTACCCATTCCACTCTTCGATTTGAACAGATAGAAAGGTATTTTCAGCTACTACAGAATCGCGAACTGAAGCCTCAATATGACCTCAGAGAGCGTGTATTTCAAAGAACACCGTGAGTCGATCATCGGAGTACGGTTGCTGTGACTCTCAATAAGTTTCAAACGCCTTCAAAGTTAGTCAGCCTTGACTAACAACTTATTTCAACATTTTCACCTTAAATGACGATTGTTGAACGGGAAAAGAAGTTAGAAAATATACCAGACTTTAGTGGGAGAACTCCAATGAGATAGTGGCTTCTAAAAGCGGAAGCTGTCTCTCCTTCAGCGATTTCTTCTGTGATGAAGGGAGAACTGGATATCTGCTGGAGTCCTGCGTCCTGATGCTTTCTACTATGACTACTTCGACAGCGAACTTCATAGTTTCTCACTGCACTTCATTATATCTCCAGTTACGATGGGGCGTTTTTACTAGCCAGATAATGTGGGGGTATACCAATTGATCCAGCTTGAAATCTGCTCGAAGTGCTGATCAAACTACTGTACTGCGTGATTAAATATTCTTGAACCCAAAATAAATTTGCTTGCTCTTTTCAGAGATATGAAGGTTAATTCTACTTGTATTATATAAAATGAAGAATCTCACGATCGGTCTCATCTCTATGCTCTGGCAAAGGGGGCTCAAAGCCGCAAGGACAGATAATTGAAACTCCCCAAAACAGAGAGCTTATCAGCTTTTCCATACATTATATTCAATAAATTTTTTACTTATGAGCACTGCTTGGCCTTACCCTATGGGAGTCACACTTCCAGTGAGGCCAGCTTTCTTAAAAGCAAAAACCTCTCATTACCAGCCTCTAATGCGGAAACTTTCCACAGAAGACCCAAATACCGACCTTTCCCAGTAACTTCGACCGCCTAAGCAGATTTATGTAGCTCTCCTGCTTGAGAAAGTCTTTCATCTGAATTGGTGTTGCCAACGTCTGGGGTTCATGGAGTCTTCAAGTGGGTGAAGCGCGAGCCATGTACAAAATTTGTTTAGGTTGTAATAAAAAACCGTTAAGTGAACAAAGTAACCATACCTCGTGCGTTCGTCAATCAATGGTTGTTCTTTTTGTTCCACTACTTCGCACATGTGTGCAACTTCATCGACATCTGCAGGTTGCATCCAACCAAAACGAAGGGATAGACATTGTTCTAGTGGCGCCACTCTCCAGTTATTGCTAGCAAAATAAATAAGCGAGTCTGCTCCGGAACGTCAAGACGCCAATATGAGTAAATGAAGTTTTAAAACAATTTTACGCTCCCCTTTTTGTTTTTGTATGCCAAATTGTTTATCCTTCACACATCATTTTGGTGCTTTTGTGGCGCTGACGTTGATCGCTCATTGTTTATTATTCCTTCCACACTTGATTGTGTAAAATGGAAAAGTAAATAAAATGAAATTTGTGAAAGAATCAAATAATTTGTTGAAGCTTTTTCCTAATTTTTTCGAATTTTTTTTCGAATTTTTTTTCCATTTTTCGTTTTTGTCTTTAACGCTCAACATCGATTAACGCAACGGATTGAATGGGCGCTACACGTTTATGGTTAGTCTGAGGCTTCATGGCATTTTTACGGCGCATAAAATGTGTTCGGGCATAAATAAACACATAACAGTGCATTGAGTTAATATTATACATAATATATATAAACATATGTATGCATGTATGTATGTGTATGTAGCTAAATGGCGTAATAAATGTGATGAATGGTTATAAAAGTAGATTTTTATTATTGAATTACTGCACTCCCACGGCATTGCGCTGCCGCTGCTGCTATGAACATATGCCAAATTCGAGCGGAATTCGTTTTGTGTTTTTGGAGATTTGAATTGAGGAAGAATAAGCATCCTAATTGTAGTGGTTTGTATTTAAGTATTTCGTTAAAAATTATTTATTTGTTGAATATGTACATACACATATACCTACATAACATACATATGTGCATAGTATGCGAGTACATGATTTTATCTACTTAAGAAAATAAACTCAGTTCCAAAGGAGTCATCTCAACGAGGTCATAAAACTGATGCAACCCAAACAAGGAATACCTACAAAATCCACTAACTAACTAAATGGCATATCACAATTTCATACTTTATATTAAGTCAAGCAGAAAGTAATCCATTATTTTTGCAATAGATGGCTTAGTGATCTGTATCCGTCATTCTGTAAGTGCGATTGATTCAAGAGATGACAAAAAAGACAACGAGGGAATTAAAAAAAGTTCGTTAAGTTGACCAGAAAAAAAATAGTTTACTATTTATTTTTTGTCCTTTTTTTATCTTCTCTACATAATCGCCATTGATTTCAATGCATTTCTTAAGCATAAAGATCCACTTCTGAAAACAGTCTCCAAAATCTTGCTTCTTAAGCTTATCAACTTCAGCATTAACCGCATTAATTATCGTCGTTATTATTAAAGACCTTTCCTTTTAATTTTTTTTTTATTTTCGGAAACAACCAGAAATCACAAGTTGCTATATCCGGGGAATATGGTGCTGGACGTATTTCATTCACCCCAGAAATCGCAGTAAAATTACTCGTTATTTCCGCAGTGTGGGATAACGAGTTGTCATGAGGTAAAAAGTGCGCCGCAAATACTCTTTCTTCCTGCTTTCCAACAAATGTTGTTAAACACTCTTCCGTGTACCATTTTTCAGTTTCCGTCTGACCCTTTACCAGTGGAATAGCAGCTATTTTTTTAGATCGGGTGAAGTAAACTAACATCATTACTTTTGCTGCTGATTTTCGTTGCTTAGAATCTACTGCTGGGTTTGATCCATACCATAGACTACTGTTTGGTTTCTGCATCATACTTACAGAACCAAGATGCGTTGCTAGACTGACCATTTTCGAATTTTGTTGAGGAAAAATTGAGCAAAACACACTCGAGCTTCTTTTTGGATCTCATTTAAAATTCATGGTACCCTTCGAACCGATTTCTTCGTATATCCTCGGGGTTCGTCCTCTACAGAAAAATGTTCGGAAATATCTAGAAATAGTCTCCAAAGACGGTCCAATCGTTCTATATGCAATTCGGCATTCACTGAATACTTGTATTGACTGTCAATCACGCCGAAACCCGAAGTGAATCAAATGGCGAATTTCTGTTTTCTCGTCTCCATTTAAGCCGATCGTTTTAAAGTTTGAAATGAAGAGTAACAAATTAAATGCAAAAGAATTTGGCATTTACAGATTTAACAAAAACAATTTGAAAGTCATCAACTTACCGTAAGTTCGTTAATCCCCTCGGAACTTGCTATGAGAAAAATGGAACGCCATGCTGAAGTAATGGGTAGCGGAAGCCTGCCAGTGGCACATACCATTGTTGACACGAAACAATTTTCTCTCGGTCCCGTCAATTTTGTTGTAAACAATGCTCTACGGTTTTCGAAAATGTCGATAAAATGCGGCATCTGAGCGCCATAAAAGCATTGTTTCGACTGTCCAGAAGCTAAACATTGAGTGCTCGATACACATAAAAGCTCGATGTATGAGTGCGTTTTGAGTTGAAAAATCAGTGAACGGTGACTCGTATCGAAAAGTGGATCACTTATAGGAACGGCAAATGAAAAGGGACTTCGTCGAATGGCAGTGAGCCGGCAAAAACAGTCTCCAATCAAGGATGAACGACCACAAAGGTTTTATTGCGGGTTTGGTGGGATTGGCAAAGAGTTATCCACTATGCGCTCTTCGCATACGGCCAAACTTAACTCGCATTTGTACTGTCTGCAAATGGACCGTCTGAAACAAGTATTTGCACCTAAGCGTCCAGATTAGACCAAGGGAGCGGAATTGCGTTTCAACAGGTCGATGCCGGACCACATACATCAATAACAAATCGCCAGAAGGAGTTGTTAATGCATAGTCTAGACCTGCACCATCTGTTCCTGTCTATGAAACGGCATAATGGCAATACCTTTGACAAAAGCAAAAAAATTATCAAGGAAAGTGATCCATAATTGACATTAATCGGATAATTAGAACTATGGGACATAAATCCTTTAAGACAAACATAATGGATGGTCCCCGGATGAGCCAGAGTTTCTTCTTTTTGCTGTTGTCGGAAACTTTCCTTTTTTATTAGCCTTTCTCAAATTCGGAAGCGGACAAAGACCAGTGTTCACCAGGTTTTATTTATAATTGGTTGATAAGAAAACACTCGCTGTCTCTAGCTGTGAGTTTTTCTCATTGTAAAAATAAAATACAGTTAACTCGTTATTTTAAGTACGGCAACCTCTTTAAGCTTTTCAGCTCATTGGGCTTTACATCCGTCATCTATAAATAATCAATTTTCCAGAAAACAGAGAGAGGCTTACAAAAAACTGGGTTTCTACCCACCACACTTCTACCCACCACAAGCCATGAGATATCTGCTCGAAATCAGTATTACATCATGTCAGAAAATTCGTTCATTCAAGGACCACAACAAGTGTGGCAACACTCTTTACTATCCTGGAAGGATTTGGTCATACTGCACTCCACTTGTGAGTTCAATATAACCGAGTTATTCGTCACAAACGCTAACTTATGTTGCAAAAGCATAATTGGTTGCAATGTGACCAGGATGTGATAGCAGTTGGTTACGAGAGCTTATCTCGTCTTTTTATGAGAAAATCTTCCATCAACAGGCTGAGTATACCTTTAAACGCCCTCTGCAGGGTTTGAAAAGAAGAGTAGTTTGAAGTTCGTAGCGGCGGGAACCTTTAGAGATATATCGATGGCAGGAAGTGGAGTTATTAGAATATCCAGTGCTTTCAGAATGGTCCTGTTTGGTGACCTAAGTGAGTTGATAACCAGAAACCACTACAACCTAACTTAGTTATCGACCGAAGGAGATTAGTAAGCAGAGACGATCATGAAACTCTTTGTTTTGTTGCGATATTTTGTATCACCGTTTGCGTTTGAGTTGAGTTAGAATCGCGAAGGACCTCCCCCGGGCCGTTCGATAATAAGCGAGATTTCAGACAAGCTGACTCTTTGTCGTGTGACTTTCTTAACGTATTGCTGGGGAAAATAATACGAGCTGCAGAGCCTAATAGGGAAGAAGCTGGCGTACGCCGATGATATTGAAATTATTGGTCTTAACAACCACGACGTAAGTTCTGATTACTCCAGACCGGATAAGGAGGCGAAGGATGTAGATCCGATAGTGAACGAGGGCAAGACGAAATATCTCCTATCATCAAACAAACAATCGGTTATAACTTTGAAGTCGTAGATAATTTCTTCTATCTGGGAACCAGTATCAACAGGCCAGAAGCACTTAGCTTACCAGCAGGTGCTACTTTGGACTGAATAGGCAATTGAAAATTAAAGTCCACTCGGCGAATGAAAATCAAACTCTACAAGTCCCTCATTGTTCCATAGACGATGGATTGCGGAACTGTACGAGCTATATGATGATATTGACATAGTTCAGCGAATGAAGAAACAGCGGGTACGCTGGCTAGGTCATATGGTCCGAATGGGTAACAATACTCCAGCTTTGAAAGTATTCGATGCAGTACCCGCTGGTGCAAGCAGAGGAAAAGGAAGACTGGCACTCCGGTGAAGGATCAGATGGAGAGAGACCTGGCTTCACATCGTATTTCCAGCTGGCGCCAGGTAGCAAAAAGAAGAGAGAAAGAAAGATGAATGTTTGAGTTTTAAGGAGAAGGCGAATTCATAAAAATAACCTCAGTTTTCCAATACCCAGCAGAGAAGTATGGACCAATAGCTACCAGTAAACTCCAAATGGTAGCGTCTAGAGCGAAACTGGAACGAATAATGAATGTCTCCCCACGAAACCTCCTAAGCAACTCTCGTTCCGGTTACCAGATCTTTTTTATCATTTCTATTTCACCATATTTTAAGGTTAATAATATTTTCATCTTGAGTTAAGTAAACTTTAAAATCATATTGAACTGTCTTTGATTTCTTCTGCGGGAGATGGTCGAGCAAATCAGACTATCTGAAACATTATTATGTAGGTCTCTTCAGAAGGGAAAGCTCTAAGAAATTAGTTATTAAAGTCACATACTCCTTTCGATAAATACCACATTTGTATGTCCTTTGCCAAGTGGAAACTGCTACTCATGGAATTACCTTCAGGTCAAGTTAAGGTGGAATCAAGCTATATTACTTGCCAAAAATCTACACAGACATGGCTAAAATAGAGTAGCAAACAGTTACGCGGAATATTTTTATTAAAAAATTGCATCTTTGAGATGATAGAAGCTCTGACAGGGCACTCTCTGATGGACGACATGCAGAGAATCTGCGAGCTACTTATGCAACTGGTCTCTTCGGGTCGGAGTAAAGAAACTCTGACGACTTCATTCTACACAGTTTTATCAAGGATTAGAAATTGATTTGGACAGCGAAAC